ACTAATGCGTATAAACTCAAAGAGGGCGAAAGAGGAAGCGATTATTCGAGCTGCAGCACAAGCTGCTGCTGCAGCAGCAGCTGCATCACAACAGCAGCAGCAGCAACAACAGCAGCAGCAACAACAACAGCAGCATCAGAGCGTACCAAAAGCACCTCAATCAGCGCCATGTACAACATTTATCGGAGCCGAATCAGCGGTACAGTCCAGTTATGATTATCAAAATACTTCGGGAACACCGCTTCATATACAACAACAGCAGCAGCAGCAGCAGCCGCAACAACCCCAACCACCGCAACAACCACCACAACAGCAGCAGCAGCAGCACTACGGGGGTAGCAGTTATCCGATACAACAACAACAACAACATCAGCTACAACAAATGCCATTGCAAGAGGTACAATAAAGTTATTTTTCGTATTTTATTTTGGAAGTTTTTGCACATATTTGCTTCACATTTAGCTCCATATTGGGTCAATTGCGTTGTTTTTATTTTATATTTAATGATTTGCACTTTACTCGATACTTACTGCATGTTTTGGTAACTTCCTGCAGTGGGCACGCATTCGAGTATTTCTGTAGCTGCACTTTATAACTCAAATTAGAGAAGAAGCTTCCTGTGTTAAGATGGTACCAAAAATTATTTGTCCAAGAAATTTGCCGCCAGTACGGTCATGTCAAAGTTCGCAGTTGACATTGTGCTAAATCGAAAATTTTTTCCAAAAAAAAAGTAGCTGAAACATTGTTAAAATATATATATATATATCTAATCCAACGGTACATGGACGATCTAAGATGGCCGAAATAGGTGAAGAGGTTTTTACGACTGTTAATGGGTCGAACCGTAATCCAAATCCAAGTCTGATTCCCGGGCGATTTTGTTTTTCTTGTTCTGTATTGTTAAAGCTGGGCCTGGGAATTAAGGTATTGGAAACAGAGGTGTTGCCGGAGTGTGCCTAATCTTCGGCTAGAAACTGCACCTAAAAGGGTGCCTACTGAGCAAATTTCACAGCATCGTCAATGTCCTCAAAATATCAAGAGGGAAGGGCTGTAGCACTGAACGTGTGCAATATACAGCCACTGATGAAAGCTAAAGAGTTGACGATGGTCATTGACGGAGAGGGCGATAAGAAGGATGCTTGGAGCGTCTCTTCGTGACCGTATAAGCAATCAGACTCTTCATCAGTTGAGCAGCATGCAAGATTTCACTGAAGCCATACAAAATGTAAAACTTAGCGGTCAGAGCATGTTGCTCTCTTAGGACATCGTGCATTAACTAGTGATACCAAGGACGGCCACTCAGATAATCCACGAAGAGGTGACACACATGCATCGGCTAAGCTGTAGATACAGGAGATATGTAGTGCAGGACGGAAAGAGCAAGCACAGCTGCGCCCAAAATGTGGGAATACTTTAGTGTTTCAGAGAGATGCAAACTACTTAAGATGCAAACTATGGATATGTCTGGCTAGTAAGATCGCTAGCACGGGATACCCACGCGGATTTGCTTAATCCATCTTGAACACTGCTATTCGTATACCGCGGTTATGTACCTTACCAACTATTAGAGGTTACAAGGGAAGTGTACCAATTAGTATGAACCGTCTTTTTCTAGGCTTCGATGGTACCACAACAACAACGTCAGCCACAACACATCATGCTTGGTGGAGGGCATATTGTAACACAAGGACATAGTCAGATGGGCAATCAAACAGCCATATCACAGCAACAACAGCAGCAAGGAAATGGTCTACCTCCCTGCCAGCAACAACAACAGCAGCAGCAGTTACCTCCGGTTGAGCAACCAGTACAAGCAACTGCATTACTGCAGCAGCAACCACAATTACTGCAGTCGAAAAACATGAGTACTTCAGCTTCAACCGGTAGTATGTCAGTACCGCTTAGTTATTATCAAGGAAGAGACCACCAGCAGCAACAGCAGCAGCAACAACAACAACAGCAAGCTAGTACCAATTTCTCGACACCTCGTATGCAGTCATCACTGCAGCAACCGCATTTATTCATGCATTCGAGCAGCAGCGCGCAAAACATAACTGTAGTGCAGCAGCAACATCGGCAGCAGCAGCAGCAGAAACTTCATCATCATTCTTCTGATATATCCGGAACACTGCAGCAACAACAGCAGCAGCAGCAGCATCCTGATATGCCCGGAACACTGCAGCATCGTCCCGATATATCTGGAACGCAACAACCGAGCAGCCAAATGATATCTCCTCCGGTATCATTGACATTCACTCCGCAATCACGACCACAGCAGCATCAGCAGCAGCAGCAGCAAACAGTTATGAATTATGGCTCAACTGTTGTAACACCTGGCACTGCTGCTGCAGTAGTAACATGCAGTAGCAGTAGTAGCAGTAGCAGCAGCAGAGCAACGTCGACAGGAACACATAGTATTGTTTCGGGATCACAGCAGCAGCAGCTGGATATGTGCAAACAACAGATGTGCCTACCGTTCCAAACACAAATCGGTAGCAGCCCATACGATTTGTATGCAAATCTGCCCAAAAAGCAGCAATCCTCAACATCATTGCAGCAGCAGCAACAGCAGCAGGTAATTTCAGTCTCTGTTTTATATCGTAGTTTTCATCATGATTATCCGAATAAATGATGTGTCTGTGCATGTGTGTGTGTGTGTGTGCATGTGTGTGTGTCTGTGTGTGTGTGTGCGTGCATGTGTGTGTGTGCGTGTGCGTGCGTGTGTGGTTTTGCTTATCGCTTTGATTTTTAGACTTTCTGGGCTTCTTTCGCATCACTCAGTTCTCGAGTTTCATGGATTTCTTGCAAATTCGTTTATCCAAGTCAGCGACTATGAGAAAGTGACAAATATTGCTTTTGTCTTGTTGAAGATGCAGAGTTTAACTTCGCCACTGGGAAAACCGTTCTCTGCGATTTTTTCCGATGCCAAATTGGTACTGGCCCTTGCCAGCGAATCAAACTTTCTGTCAGCTTTCTTCGAAAATACCACGAAATAGGGAACCACTTAAAGTCTTTCTAGCGATTAATTGACTGCTATGTGTCTTCTCTGACATCCACACGTTTGTCAGTTGCTGGACATTCCGTTGCGTCCATTTGCTGTGGACTTTGATAAAGTCATAAGTGATATGTGCGTGAAGGCGAGAAACGGAAAAGGGATTTGGGAGTATAGATATAATTGTAATGGGTAAGAAATGTTTCGGTCCATTAAGTCGTATACATTTCTTACCGTTACCACAACTGGACCTCGTTTAAAGTTTTGCAGCTTGAGAAACCATCCCTCAGCTTGCAAATTGGTATACTTCTTGCTAGTACGCGACGGAGTCAGTCCGCTTTCAGCTTGCTTCTCAAGTAGCTCTCAACGAAAAAACAAACAGTCTTCTGTCAGGTGGCAAACTTTTACCGTCATCCGCATTTTGGAAGTGCTCCTGCCCCCCTCATCGATAGCGAAATGCTGAGTTGATTTTGAATTTTCGCGTTGTCCTCTAAAAAGTTTGCCCCCATTTCAGCATCAAATGATTCAGCAGCAAGCAAAAATCACCGATATCTGTCAAGATTACCTCAATTCGCCGGCAACGACCCTGACACAAACAATGAGTCGTACAACTCAACCAGCAACTACCACTGTCCAGCAGCAAATTAATCCAGCACCGCCTCAGGTGGCAACAAATTTGCAGCCGTGTCGGCAAAATGCAGTACCGAGTGCCCACCATCTTCCGGCCAGTCGTACTGTACAGCACCAGCAGCATCAGCATCAACCGCAACAGCAGCAACAATACCATCATCAGCAGCAGCAACAGCACCAGCAACAACAACAACAGCAACTCTCACCGGGTGCTCAGCAAGCGGTTGCATTTGCCATGGGTTTACCGGGTGCACCATCACCATTTGCGCAAATGCAGCAGCAATATCTGGAGCAAATGTATCGCTCATCCATGTTTCAGAACGGCCTCTTGCAAGGTATATCTTTGGAACTTGTTTCTCTCAATTTTCTTTCATTCTGCAGATGCGCATGATACAGTGGCAAATAGAACTACTCTTTTGCTGAAGGCCAAAGATCTGATTCCGCTAGAGGGAAAACCCACTTCCTCTAGTATTTGTTCATTCGTTTCGATGGTAAATTGCTACGAGATGCATAGCAGGAATTCAGGATTACATCAGTTTAAAACTCCCTCATTTCGTCTCTGTGAATGGTGAAGGTACGCGGAAATTAACCAGAGCGGTAGCAAATGCCAGCAGCAATCATCCGTTTATAATACTGCTGCTGGCTCCCTCAACAGAGAGCGAGCTGCGGAAATTGTCGCGTGATCGCTAACTTGAGTTATACGCCCTAGGAACAAGAATCATGGCATAGCTACGCCCAGAATGATAAAATCACTGACATGAGGTACCCATCGCGGACTGTCAGAGCAGTCCTATATGGAGAAAATGGGAGTTAAAAAAAAAGAAGAAACATGTGCGGTTGTATCGACGATCCCCTCTCCCCCAACTTATTCAGCACACTGATTCACTAACACGCTACATAGTGGTGTCACAATTCTAGGGAAGTGACCCTTGCATCGTCGTACAATACTTGAAAGGGGCAAAAAACATCGACAATTTCGTCGAATTGGTAATCCCACGAAATGCTGATATTTCACGATTGTCGTGCAAACAGATTGAATTTTCAGCTGCAGCAACAAGCGCTTATGGTGGTGCTGGTGTAACAGTAACCGGAGCATACGGCCCAGCATATCCGGGTACACCATGTAGCGCTGCTCCGGGAGTTTTGCAAAGTTCGATTCGACAAGATAATCAGCGGCAACAGCAGCAGCAGCAACAGCAGCCGCATCTCGCGGTTAGCTTATCATCATTACTTTGCTATCTAGTAAGTGATTAGTTCTGCTTCCAGCACGCGCACTAACACACCTCTTGCATGCGTTCGTTTCTTCACTTTTATAACATCTTTTTGAATTTGTAAAAAAAATTATACAAGTGGGATTACTGTAGTGGCAGGTGGCGCTACGGTAGCACAACTGGTGTGGCAGCCAATCGTTGGCAGCTTTGACTCACTACTGTGTCCGCACATGTCGGGGCGTCAGAGCGGTCGCCGGCAGGCAGCACTAAAAGAGGATTACTGTAGTAGCATGCAGCAATACTGTGGTGCAATCAGCGTGACAGTAACTCGTTGGCAGCTTTGACTTATTACTGTATCCCCACATGTCAGAGTGTTAAAACGGTCGTCAGCAGGTAGCACTAGAAAAAGGATTACTGTGGTAGCAGGCAGCACTACGGTAGGACTATCAGTGTGGCAGTTAATCGTTAGCAGATTCGACTCTCTGGCCTCCTGCATGTCGAAGTATTAAAAGTACGATCATTAGCAGGTGGCACTAAATAAAAATTACTGTAGTAGCGGGCAGCATTACCATAGGACAACTAGTGCGATCGCTTTGACTCGCTACCGTATTCCCACGTGTCGAAACCCCTGAACGTTCAGCAGGTGGTACCACAAAAGGATTACTGTAATAGCAGGCAGCACTACTCCAGTGCAACTGGTGCGGCAACCAATCGTTGGCAGCTTTGACTCTCTGACTCCCCCAACATGTCAGGATATCAAAATTACGATCACCAGCAGGTGGCGCTAAAAAAATGGATTACTGTAGCAGCGAGTAGCAATAACGTAGGACAACTGATGTGGTCACTTTGGCTCACCACCGTATCCCCGCGTATCGGAGCGCCTGACGTTCATCAGTAGGTGGCACTAAGAAGGATTACTGTAGTTGCGGATAGCACTGCAGTAGAACTACTGGCGCGGCAATTAATCGTTGGTAGGTTTGATTCACTACCGTATCCCCGCGTGTCGGAGTGTCAGAACGATCGTCAGTAGCTTCCTTTTCTATTGTAACACTGTGAAGAGGAAAGAAAACATCGCCCTTCTTGTCACTGAATGGTTGTGCTGACAGTGTGCTACCGTACTACCAAATGCTCCCACCTTTTATAATTGGAAATCTCTTCGCAGCTCTGAATTCACAGTGTGTGGTGGCGCGTCTGTGTGATATTTCCAATTGCTTTGACCAGAGCTGCTGCATTTTCGGGTGGTCAATCTTCAGCGGAGGAGATTTCGATTTGTCTTGGCCTGGTGAATGGTTGTTAATGTAATTAATGCGGCACTCAAACCTCACTCAGATTTGCGTTTTTTTTTTTTTTTTGATATGCAGAATAATGAATAGGAAACTTTGATTCTCAGTTGATTAAGGAAGAG